TACTTCACAATGACAAGAAGCGCAGACAGTTTAGAGAGCCAATTTGCTTTATTCCATCATACCACAAAGCCAAAAAATAGTGAATCTTTGGCTCCACATGGGAATGGAAATTGTCTTATTCTTACTCCCTTCGTCCCAAAATACTTACAGCATTTACATGAACTTTTGTTTATTTCTACGTTTTCATTGGTTATTTGATAAAATAAAATATTCTTGTCACCTTTTATTTCGAAGAACTTTTCATGTAGTTTTTTGATATGTAAAATTTATTTTTAATTTCTATACCAATATGTAAATAAAATGAATTGAAAAAATTTGATATTTAACTCTGGAATATAAGTGTGACAAATATTTAGGAAAGGAGGGAGTATGTTTTTTCTCTCTATTTTTGTGTTGTGTGGCAGTATTTAGAAGGCAAGATATTATGGTGATGTCACATTTTTGGGATGGTTTGTTGTCACATTTTTTCATGGGCTTATATTTGATTTTTTAAAAAAAGACTCACTTCTCTTATACTATAAATGCACTAAAGTCCATATAATGATTATGAACATTAGATTTACAGAAGAATTTGTTTATCGTGGGCATTAGAGCCAAAAACAAACTAAACACATTCCACTCTATAATGTGATAAGTCACATTCCACTCTATAATGTGATAAGTAGTTTACTACTCTCTCCCTCTTACTTCCCATTATTATATTTCTTCTTTTTTTTTGCAGTCTTTAAAAAAATCATCTTTCCATTTAAGGAAACAAATATTTGAGCTATATCAATTTCATTTTTTTCCTATGCAAACAATAGCTATTCACATTCTATTTTATTAATAATCGTGGCAAACCAAACATAGTTCTTGATTGGAGGCAATAGTTAATAGCTGCAAAAGAGATATCTTAATTGAAAGTGAGAGTTTTTTTGGACGGGAAAATTTTATAAGATTGGAATATTTAGACCTCTACAATGGATCTCTTGGTTTCGAATGTGGTAAAATGCTTGTGGAGTTGTGATTCACCAAGTTTTATCCCAACTTGTACATCAGACTTGACGCCCCATGTATATTTTGGTGTAGATAAAAAATGTAATCTTACACCGAACATTAAGATTTTTACACCAAAACGTGCTCCGATTGTAGAATTCATTGCGGTTACCTCTCTTAATACATCTGAAAAATTTCACTTGATTATAATAAGTTTTGATTTGATTTGATTGAAATAAAATAATAAAAAAAAATTGAAAAGAAGATGCTAAACCCATGTCTCCTTCTTTGCCCTCCACCCCGCCCCGTTCTACCCCTATGGGGAATACAGAGAGTACGAGAAATGCTTCCAGCGTCAACGAAGGGAAGGGGTTAAGCGTTTTTGAGATGATGTAGGTCGTCGAACTCATGGTAGGTTTCTGCAATATATTCTCAATTGATGTTCTCCAATTTTATGTATTGATTTCTTTCTTGCTTCGAATTTGCAAAGCTCAATCCTAGATGCTCAACACTTAACATCTCCATTGTGGAACCCATAAAAAGATAATTGGCATCAGGTCACGATCTTTCTGCTCTATACATTTAATTTTTTTCTTCATTTTCGGCATTTAGTCAGTTACAAAATGATTTAGTCAGCTTAATTGGATGAGAGGTTTCAATTTGTATTTCACAATGTTTATAATTTCTACTTGTGCTTTTCTCACTTGGGTTTACTCGCTTCTGTAGCTGGTTGAGTCCAAGCAAGTATGGTTTCCTCATTATCATTTTCAAGAAGAAGCATATCCACTTTTTGCTATCTGTGTGAAAGAAGAAAGCAAACAGGCAGGTTTTGTTCCATTATTCTCCTCAGATGAATTGCCACTTCATCTGAGGATCTGTCTTCTTTTTATGACTTATTATTTTGGAATTCTCAGTTAACTGTGTTTTGTTGTTGTTGTTGTTACGCTTGGATTTGCGTTGATACTACGTGCAGACAGCGAAATCGTTAAAATGTTTCAACTTTCCACTCCTAAAGGGGACACAATAGGTTCTGTGTCAAATAGGACATCTTCGCGGAGGAATGGTCCTGCGAGGGCATTGGATGAGAGGTTCATTAAGATATTGAAGATATTTAAGTGGGGGCCTGATGCAGAAAAGGCGCTAGAGGTCCTACAGTTGAAAGTGGACCGGCAGTTGGTTCACGAGGTTCTGAAAATAGACGTTGAGGTTGGTAGCAAAATTGCATTTTTCAAGTGGGCTGGGAAAAGAAGGAACTTTGAGCATGACTCGGCCACCTACCTGTCTTTGATCCATTGTCTGGAAGAAGCAGGGCTTACCGGCGAGCTATGGAGGACAGTGCAACAGATGGTGAAGGGCACGTGCCTCATTTCCCCCAGCGACCTTTCTGAGATTGTGAGGGTTTTGGGGAGGGCAAAAATGGTAAACAAAGCCCTCGTTGCATTTTACCAGATCAAAGGCCGCAAGTGCAAGCCGACTGCAACCACATACAACGCCGTGATTCTCATGCTGATGCAGGAAGGCCAGCACCAGATGGTTCATGAGATCTATAAAGAAATGTGCCACGAAGGTAACTGTTTCCCGGACTCTGTGACTTATACTGCACTTATATCAGCACTTACAAAACTGGGTCAAGATGATTCTGCTCTGAGGTTATTTGATGAAATGAAGGAGAGTGGCTTGCACCCCACTGTGAAGATATACACCACTCTGTTAGGTGTTTATTTCAAGAAAAATAGGGCTGAGGAAGCTTTAGGGTTAGTGGATGAGATGAAGGGAAATGGTTGTGCTCCGACCGTTTACACTTACACTGAATTGATAAAGGGGCTGGGGAAAGCCGGTAGGACTGAAGAAGCTTATTCTATATTTCTAAATGTCCTAAGAGAAGATAATGTTAAACCGGATGTGGTACTCGTAAACAATGTCATAAACATTCTTGCAAAGGCCGGACGTCATGATGATGCGCTCAAACTGTTTGAGGAAATGGAGTCATCCTTAAATTGTGTTCCCAATGTGGTGACGTATAACACTGTTATAAAATCTCTGTTCCAGTCCAAATCTCATGTACCCGAAGCTTTGTCGTGGTTTGAAAGGATGAAGGCTTGCAATATTGCCCCTAGCTCTTTCACTTATTCAATATTCATTGATGGGTATTGCAAGACGAATAGGGTTGAAAAGGCTTTGATGCTACTTGAGGAGATGGATGAGAAAGGGTTTCCCCCTTGCCCTGCTGCCTATTGCAGCTTGATCAACACTCTTGGGAAAGCAAAACGGTATGAAGCTGCAAATGAGCTGTTCAAAGAGCTCAAGGAGAGCTGTGGGTCTTCGAGTTCTAGGGTTTATGCCGTGATGATTAAACATTTTGGTAAATGTGGACGGTTGACCGAGGCCATTGACCTTTTCGAGGAGATGAGAAGATTGGGATGCGACCCTGACGTGTATGCGTGCAACGCTCTAATGTCCGGGCTGGTAAGGGCCTGTTTGGTAGACGAAGCTTATTCCTTATTCCGGCGCATGGTGGAGAACGGCCGCGTTCGTCCTGATATCAACTCGTACAATATCATTCTCAACGGTTTGGCCAAGAGTGGGTCGGGGTCCACAAGACCCGCGGTCGACATGTTTGTGAAGATGAAGGAATCGGGTGATGTGAAGCCGGATGCGGTCTCGTACAACACGGTTCTTGGATGCCTAAGCCGCGCCGGCATGTTTGAGGAGGCTGCAAGGCTGATGAAGGAGATGAGTGTGAATGGTTTTGAGTATGATCATATTACCTACAAATCCATCCTTGAAGCTGTTGGTCAGATTGATGAGGTTAGAGAGCCAGCTTTGTGAAAGGTCTTAATAACAAAAGCTAGAGGTGGTGACTGATATGTACAATGTATATTTATAAGTAAACACATTTATTTAAATGCTACTGGTCTCTTTTTTATTTTTTGAAGCACATTTCTCTTACTTGTAAGCAAATCTTAGTTATACAATTTACAATTTTTCCAACACTTAAGTTTGGTGAAGTTAAAATATATTTTATCAAAAAATGAGGAATGGAGCAATTCAAACAAACACTCTTCTTAAAATGTACTCCCACCGTCTTAGAATATTCGTTCAATTTTGATTTTTTGTAGTTAACTGGGATCCATCTTTGACCTAAACAAAAATCACATGTTATATTAATTAGGTAAAATAATATTTCGAAAATATTTAATAAGATAAATTTTATAAAATTATTCATTTATCAATAACTAATATAAATTTTATTTAATTTAATATCAAAGTGTGATTTTTTTTTAAAAACTGGACAAATACGGTGAACGGAGGTCGTATATCATATTCCAACATTTTTAAGAAATTCAAACAAACACTCCCTAATTTAGAATGGGGAATGGAGCATCTAAAAATCAACCCGAAGTAATGGCCATAATTTGGATTCACAACGTTTAAAAAAGAAAGAATAATTTACGCAAATGGGACCTAAAAACATACTACGTATCTTTTTTCATAAATAAGACCAGCCCTATTTATTCTAACAGTTGGCAATATAAAGTTTTAAAATGTTCTACCTTTGAGAATAATGATCAATTACAAATTCAAGTAAAATAAGACATTATTTAAAAAAATAATTAGTCATTGAAATATTCAGTATTTATCCAGCATTTCTTGCTAAAGATCATATTCGTAGAGTCATTCGTATAATCAATCACTATCTAATACTTGTTGCTAATAAGAACATATATGACAGATCATATGAAATTAAGTATTACTCCCTCTGTCTCATTTTAAATTGCTTGTTTGCCTTTTGCTCTGTCCCAAAATAAGTTGTATGTTATTTGTTATCGTAAACTTTTATGAGTAAAATACTTAAAAAAGTATTTTACTCATAAAAGTAGTGGCAATTTCGAAAAATCAACTCTATTTTTTATTTTACTTAAATATATCCAAAAGTCAAAACATGCAATTTAAATTGGGACAGAGAGAGCATAAAAAAATAAAACATACCTATGTTTTTAGCTCAAATTTTTTCAAAACGAAATGGATAAAGCTACTTGTACCCCAACTTTTTGTACGCCAATTTGTACCCTGCAGTTTCACACCAACATTTTGTGTTGGTGTAAAATTAATTTTTGTTAACGCACCAACACTTTGTGTCCATGTAAATTTTTGTTAACGCACCAACATTTGTGTCGGTGTAAACCATCCAAATGTTTGTATATAACTGCGGTGTACAAATGAGGTATATTTTTTGGTATAAATGTAGCATTTTAGGTTTGTGTATTTTGTGTCTAGTGTGAGATGAATAGTACATTGAGGGTGATTTTTTGACTTTATTCTACCCTTTCTGGTCAATAGTAGTACAGTACAACACTCTTGTTTTTATTGCCCAATTTTTTCTTCTCGATTGCAGCGATCATCGTCATCATCATCATCATTTCCATTCATTCTTCGTCTCTGTTCACTGGTTTTACTTCCTCTGTCTTTTTTCCTTTTAAAGCAGCGCTTTTATTACCCCTCCAAGATTGAATCTTTTTTTCCCTCCCACTCCATTTCTTTCTTCTTCTTCTTCTACTCCTTTTCTTTTGGCAATGTTTCAAGAACCAAACACGGCGTAACATACAACAGATTCTGGGCTGTAAGAGATTTTGCTGAAAATGAGTGTTTCTCTATCAGTGATGACATTTAATCTTCTTGAAGATCAGGGATTAGAGAGCCCTAATGCGTGGGATAAGAGGAAAGATTTGTGTATCAGTGTCATCACCAGTTACTCTCCCATGATTCTTTGTACTCAACAAGGTGAAATCTTTGTTTTACTTTTTACCTCTTCTTCTTCTTTTTTCTTCCTTTCTTGATATGGCTGATCTGGAAATGAATTATTATGTCACAACTGCTACTGCAATTTTTTCTAAGAAGAAAAAAATTTGATCTTTACAATGATGGTTAATTATATCTCAGCACTTTTTGGCTTTAGGTGTGAAGTCACAGCTGGACTATCTCCAACAATGTTTGCCAGGTAAGGCTATATTGGGCTTTTCATTTTTTTCTGCAACTTTAGTTGCCCAACCATACTTGGCTAAATTGGCTTGTACACACAGAGAACAAATTTTATGTTTTTGGTCTTTTGGCAGCCTCTTTTTCAAGCTTATCATCCAATTTTTGTTACCATTTGGAATATTTCAATTTAAGACGGATCATATGCTTTGGGTTTATGAGATTTTACTGGGTTTATTGTTTTTGTTGTACGGTGTATCAGATGCTAGCTCAATTGATATTGAGGACTATATTTCATCTCATGCATTTAGGTTATAATCAATTTGGAATTTCAAGAAAAGGTGCTGAGGACACTTCAGATCAGTATTGCACCATTTTTTATGACAAAGAAAAGGTAGAATCTTTTTTCATAGCTCATATCTGCAGCAAGCAAATAACTTCTTCTTTATGAATGAATCTGTGAATAACGTTCTTTTAACAAACAAAAAAGGATCGTACCTTATCTTTCATTCCACTTTGATTACGAGTAATTGATTAATCAGTCCAGCCCAAGATCATATAAACTTGCCATACCGTTCAAGTGGTGGACAACCAGATCACTTGATCTGATTATTAGTCACTTGCAATTAGATCTTGATTTGAAAGATTAAAACTTTGCCTCCCGGTATAGGGGGGTATAGTGGCATGATGCCTAAACACGGGCTGCTAGGGTGATAGCCCCAACAAATGAGCTTGGCCTCCCCTTCTAGGGGTACAACACTAAAACAAGGGCCATACTGTCTTGGACACTATGATATACTTCATAGTTAGACTGGGGAACTCAACTTGACTATAATACACATGGGCCAAACCAAATCAAAAGATTAACTAACAAATCAAGTAAAATCCCGCAAAAGTAGAGTCTAGAGTGGGTGTGTGTACGCAGACCTTACCCCTACTATGAATTCGAGAGAATGTTTCCAAGATATAAAAGATTGAATCCAATTGATTAACTAGTATTAACCCAATGCCTTATACATCCATCTACCTCTGTCAATTCTTTCAATGTGAAGTTCTTTCTTAGCACACTTGTTTCGAATGAAGGTGGAGCTTTTGGAAGGTGGAACATTTTGGATGTCAGAGTCACCTTCAGTGCCGGGAAGCATGTCTTGGGGCTCCATAGTACCGTGCATTGCGACTTGGGCAATATCCTTTTTTGTTGTTTCTTTAACCTTTTTCTGTACTATTTCTAAACCTACAATTGCATTTTCTGCTTGGAAATGCTATGCGAGTTTTTTTTCCCTTGACAAGATTGTGCACACATTTCAACTAAAAAGGGTCGAGGCGCCCGGTTTTACATTTCAGATAGTAAATACAAACATGGATGAGTTCTCTCCGCGCGCTAGAAGGCGGGGCGCTTTGCTGACGTGGCAACACATTGCATCCTTACCTCCTACCTTGTCTGTCGTGTATTGTGGAGGTTTCAACACACAGAAAGAGTCAACTACAGGACGTTTTCTTCTTGGGAGATCCAGGCATGCCTATTTTTATGCCCTCTAAAATTGTTTATATCATTACCATTTACCAAACACCAACATTGCAAAAGGTGCTTCAAAGAAGTCAAAATTTAATTTTTTTTCGAAAACACTCTCTTCATCATATAGAGAACACGGAGTTCTTGGCGATATGAGGGATGCTTGGCCCAATGCTCGTACAAGGAAAAACACGTCCCTTATACGCACTTATCATGGATTCAAAGGTTGTTTTTTTTCTCATCAGCTTTTTGCGTTTATCTTCGACTGTTTTAAAATGTTATCCAACAGTAACTCTTAAAAGTTTGGAGTCATTTGGCTTTGATTATGAGACTTGTTTTGCAGAATCTCAATTCAAAATCAGATTTTTAGAAGTAATCAAACTATCAAAGAACCACCCATTTCTTATCCTTAAATAGAATGGGAACTAAACAAGAAAAGTAGGAAGTTCTTTTAGGGGCAAAGGGAGTAACTTTGAAACATCTGGTTCTGTGAACAGAATCAGCCAAAAGAAAATAAAAAAGAAGCCAAATGTGCTGGGCCACAAACAATGATACAAACAAAGCCATGATCACAATATGTTAGAGTAGATATGAGAGAAGCCTATATATGAGCTGTTCTTCTATTCTCATACTCCTATGCATAATGTGGTTTTTTGACAGGTGACAAACAGGGGCCTGTGGAGCATATGAAACTGATTCTAAGAGCTCTTTGCCTTTGCTGGGACCGGCAAACGCAAGATCTTCATGTGGACTGGGTACTGTTCAGAGGCAGATCTCTTATGCCCGCCTCGTGCCAAGTCGTGAACGACAACATTGATGGGTTTTACCCCTCTTCTCACTACCCAATATTTGCCGAGTTCATGCTTCCCCGTTCTGTGAGATTGGTCGAAACGCCTGCTCATGATGCTGGGAACTGAGGGGGATGGAGTGAACTTTTTTTATTTATATTAGTTTTTGTCAATATTTGTAAAAAAAATGAGGGGGGGGGGGGGGGTTGGGGTCATGCC